GACTGGATTTGCAAGAATGGAAGGAGAGGTGAATGATCTTCTGGTACTTACCTTCTTAGCCAGCAGGAGGGGCCTTTGGGCTTTCAGGGGATACCTGCTGGGGTTGGAGGCTAGGATAAACAATGAGTCTGAGGACAGAAGTTGAAGGAAAGATCTGTGTAATTCACCAGAGATGGGGGCAGAGAAGAGGGGGAGCTCTCCTAAAGGGCTGGGGATAAGACTGGGCATTGGACTTGGAGGAGAAGAGGGGGAAGTAAAAATCTTAGGTTAACCTATGTGCTTCCCTGAATGGAGCGGGAATTTTTCCTTTTCCTTTTTCTTTTGTTTTTGACCCAAGTTACTTTAAATGAACTTAGAGCACCAGTAGTAGTGGTGTTACTATATGACTCATGTTCCTATTTATATTCTGCTTACTTGACCTACCAAGAACTGAAAATCAGTAAATTAAAATATTGTATAGCAATATATTTGTTGCTTTTCTTTCTATCTGCTGTGTTTTTATTTCTCAGGGTATTTTTTTTTTACTTATTATGTCATTTTTATATGTTGATATTTGGAAAGCTTATCCATTTAAAGTATAACTTTTACCAGTCAGTATTTTTTTACTTTACATGTTAGGTTCTTTCTATAAGTTTTACCTATATTATCAATACCATAACTCAAGTTTTTCTAATTTCAATTTTAGAATATCTTAACCCTAACTCTTCTGGCTAAACATTTTTAGATTATAGTACATAAGTTTCAGAGATTACACATTTTAAAATATCAGCCAGACTCATTTAACAAGTAAATATACCATGTAAAACTCCCAATTGAAAGCATAATGTGTATAACCTTCTCCCTGATCTCCACAACAGCCCTACTACTCTCCTATCTCTGTGTATTATCACTTGTGTGTGTTTACTACCATAAATCAGAATTGTGACGCTTTCTTATAAATAAAATCTTATGATGTTTACTTTTCTTATCTCTCCTCTCTTCCCTCCTTCCCTCTCTGTGTGTATCCTATCCATCTCTGTTACAACATATTTTTGTTATGTAATATCTCATTATATGAATATGCCTCAATTTAATGTTGCATAACATTTGGTGATTTAGGGCTTTTATAAATGAGCTGATATGACTATATTCTACATTTTTACTAAAATATCTACTGATTTCTGTTGCATATGTATCTAGAAGTAGAACTGGGGGAATGTCAGTCATGCAAATGTGCAGATTTAGCAAATATACTACCAAAGAGTTTTTTAAAGTAGTTGTACCAATTTACTTCCACTTAAAGTGCTCAAAGATTCATTCTTTCATATACTTCCTGATATTCAATTTAGGGCCATTAATTGTAAAATTATAGTTGTTTTAAAGTGCATTGTTGTCTTATCACATTGTAGGGTTAAATTGGATTGCACATCTATAATGTCTGATGACTTTAACGAGTTTTAAATGTACTTACTATTTATCCTCTTTTATAGGATATTTAATTCTTTTCCACATTGCAATTAGTTCACCAACTTTTTCATATTAATTTCTTTATTGATTGTGTGTATTTGTGGGGGTGCCGGACAGAAGTCTTTTGCTGCATATACATAGTACAGAATATCTTGTTCATTCTCTGTGACTTTCTCTTTATTTTCTTTTTTTAATTGATTTTTATTGAGCTCTACATTTTTCTCTGCTCCCCTTCCTGATACTCCCCTCCTCTCCAACCCTCCCCCAAGGTCCCCATGCTCCCAATTTACTCAGGAGATCTTGTCTTTTTCTACTTCCCATAGATTAGATCTATGTATGTCTCTCTTAGGGTCCTCATTGTTGTCTAAGTTCACTGGGATTGTGATCTGTGGGATGGTTTTCTTTGCTTTATGTTTAGAAAACACTTATAAGTGAGTACATGTGATAATTGTCTTTCTGGATCTGGTTTACCTCACTCAGAATGATGTTCTAGTTCCATCCATTTGCCTGCAAAATTCAAGATGCTGTTATTTTTTCTGCTGTGTAGTACTCCATTGTGTAAATGTACCACATTTTCCTTATCCATTCTTCGGTTGAGGGGCATATAGGTTGTTTCCAGGTTCTGGCTATGACAAACAATGCTGCTATGAACATAGTTGAGCACGTGTCCTTGTGGCACGATTGAAAGTCAGTGCTAGTTCTAATGTAGTTCGATTTGACAATGCTTTATTTTATTTGAGTGCTTTATGAGGTTGTGTTTAAAGGAAATCTTTGCCCACTCCATAATCATGAAGTAACTTTTGATACTATCATCTAGAATTTTATTATTTTATATTTCATATTTAACTTCCATTTGGAATTTTTTCTATATATGAGGAAAGAACTGTTTAGCTATCCAATGGATAAGTGAGATTTATTTGGAATCTTTCCTTCACTACAAAAAGTGGAGATTTGACTGTAAATCAGTGGACTTTTCCTGTGGTGCATGTGTGTGTATGTGTGTATAGGCTATATCTTCCATCCTAAATACAGTTTATACCACTTTTTCAAACCACACTGTTTTAATTAATATAGCTTCATAAATATTGTTGACAGTGTAGTTTCTCTGACTTTTTTGGCTTTTTCAAAATTATTTTATATATTCTAGTTTTTGTAACTTACTACAACATAAACATGTTTACATTGTTATTACAATTTCACTAGTTATAGATCAATCAGGAATAATTCACATGCTTAATAATATTGAATTTCCTCTTTGTGTGTGGGTTCTTTATCTCAGTAGTGATTTTTAACTTTCATTGTATAAGTATTGTTCATCTTTCATTAGATTTCTTTTGTATTTTATTTTTCAATTATTATAAATGTCATTTAATTTTCTAGATATTTTGTATAAAATACAAAAAATATAATTAATATTTACAAATTGCACTTGCTTCCAACAACTTATTAAATTTACAAATTCTAATTTTATAAATTCTTTTGGATTATCTGCATATTTAATTATATCCACAGTGTAAACAGCATTTCTATTTCTTTTTCTAAAGAAAAATGTTGTTTAAGTCCTCCATAGAGCTCCGATGCACAGATGTGATGTTAGTAGCGTCTTTGTTTCTAATCTCAGGGATAAGGACTTAAAATGTTTATGAGATAATTGCTGAAAGGTTTTGGTGAGCACCCTACCTGTATCCCTCTTCCTATATGTTTATTATTTTATGGGAGATAGGACACCTCTGGAAACTCTGCCACACTGCTGTTCTTAGGGTAACCTAGAGGGGCTTGCATGCAATCAAGTAGATTACTTCAAACCAGGACAATTTTGACTACCTCTGTATTTGTTTCTTGTACATAAAATTATGTATTATGATGGAATTTATTTATCACTTTAGTATTAATAATAGCGATTAAGGGCATCTTCCTAAATGGGATAGATACAGTATTTTCTCTATGAAAATTTTTTAGATTTTTTTCAGTAGTTATTCCCCACAAACAATATCATTAGAGAATCTTAGACCACCCCGCCCCCCCCCATTAAATCCTCTAAAGCAGGTGAAAATATTCAATGTAAGTCTATTGGAATAAGATAAACTAGAACTAAGGAAAACAGTATTCATTTTATACAGTTTTTCTTTGTTCTCAAAGTCTCTTAACCTTTAGTAAGTTACAAAAAACAGAGATGAAGGTTCAGACTATGAAGTATTTCCTTGAGGTAGCAAAAGAGAATGGAATGTAGACTAGGAGTTATAGAATCGTGAGTCAACTGAAATCTCATATTCTCTGTATTCAAGATAGCATAATGTTTTAATATTACTAGTTCATTTACTAAACTATTTAACGACTATTTTCCGTTTCCACGGATAGACATTAGGCTATCCACTGAAGAAAAAATAAAGACAGAAAGTAAACATACTTCATCACACATGGAACTAGAGTATTATTTTAGTAATGTTAAATTTTAATGCTTTTTTAAAGCTATGAAATGCTTTTCACTCAGCAGGTGATGTTGTGTAATATTTCCTGTACAAGTTCATCTCCCAAGAGGGTTGAGTAGGTCCTAGTATTCAGTCCTACCCCCAGTTGCCTGACAGATCTATCACTTTCTAAAGAAAACAGCCACTTCTGGGACAGAGAGTTGAAAGCTCAAGAACCCTTTAATTTTAGGGTTATATCTTCTCTTGAATATGGACCTTTCTTCAAATCCTGTGCCCAGGAGAGCACCCTCTTCTCTGCCCATCAGGTTCCAAGACTCCTTCTATTTCTATTATTATCACCAAACTTATAATTTCTATTTTCCATAGTCTACAAAAAACTTAATATGCAACCAAGTCCACTGAAAACTAGAGTGACAGATATTTATCTTATTAAACTTATCTTTATTAAATTATCATAGAAGTGGTGTCATAAAATAGTCAAAAAATGGATAGCCAACTCAGTCTTTTCTCAGGCTTGGACTTGATCTAGATTCAGTAGCCCAGTTTTTGTGTTCCTTCTGGTAAATTCTGTGTACCTAATATCCCACTGCAACTTCAGAGAAACTTTACTTTTCCTTCATATAGCATATACATATACACATATATAATACATGCATATATACCTATGTATGAATGGATATGTATATATATATATTATCATAAGTTAAATAAAGATACAGTATTTAAAAAATAGGACTGGGAAGATGCTCAATGAGTAAAGTACTTGTGACATGATCATGGTCAGCTCCCAGCACCCACATGCATGTGAGGTAATGTGGCAGTCTGCTCCTAATCCCAGTAATTAAGAGGCAGAGACAGAGGATCCCTGGAACAAGCCGGCTAGCTAGAGTAGCTATATCAGCAAGCTTTGGATTCACATGAGAAGGTGGAGGGTGATCAAGGAAGATGTTTGACACCTACCTCTGCGCAGGCACACACATGAACACACATGAACACATACAGTCCAGCCCAGGAGAGCACACAGACCTCCTGTGTAGTCGTTAGGAAATTGACTTTTAAGATATATTCTTAGTTCACTAGGGCTGAGAAATCATATGCCAATAGTCTTGTATTCCCTTCCTTTAGGACTTGCCACCAGAACTCCTGAGGCAGCACCAGGCTTTTATAGGAATGAAATGCCAGCTGGGAGACAGAGGAATCAAGTACACCACTTGCCAGGTGAAGGTGAAAATCTTTTCTGTGAATAAATAAAAGACTTGTTTCTTCCCAATTTGCTTCACAGTTTAAGACTTGCTTTTCATCTGTTGTGCTGAAAACACAGGTTAAAACATAGCAAATAAAAACATGTTGCTAGAAACATTTATTCAAACCAGAGACATTTATGTCACAGTATAAAAGTAGGGATTCCTAAGGCTTTTGTCTTGATCTTGAAATGCTCCATAGAATTTTTTTATACAAAAAAAAAATACAGCTGAATAACCTCATGAAACCTGTAAGAAAGTAGGATAAGACAAACAGGAAATTCAGAGAAAATTTAAATGTCCCCCCCAACTAGTGAGATTTTATTATAGAACCACCATTGGTTTTTATAAGCAATGAACTAATTTCTGTAACCAGCACAACCACTGGTGATCCCAACAACTCTATCAAAGCGTTGCTGCTTTGGAACGTTTTCCTGAAGAATTGTCCTTCACAGGTTTTATCAACCCAATCCTTTGCAGCGGCCTCAAAACCCAAAACTGCTCACTGAGACCCAAACCAACTTGACACAGTCTATCTACCCTTCTTAAGTTAGTCATTAAAAAGTGGATATGGTCAGATTTGTAACTTTGAAAAGTTATTCGTCTTATAGATCTCAAGTAGTCAAGGGAGATAAAAGCACTTGTTAAAGCTTTATAGACAATAGCTTTTATATAACCTTCTGGTAAGCAAATTAAAGCTCAGAGTATTTCAATGGAAAGAAGTAAAATTTCAGTTATTTATATTTGGTTTGAAAACCGAAGCTATCTCCCCCCACACCATCATTCATTCATTAAATGAGAAAAACAATTTGACATTTATGAAATAATCACTATTAAAATTATATGACTGAGCAATGAAAAAGAAGTAACTGAGTTATGAAGAGACTATTTAACAAAAGCATTAAAAAAGAACTTGATAAATATACCTTTCTTGAAATAACAGAAGAAAATAGTTCACTACTTAAGTTCTGGAAAAAGACTATTTTGAAAATTACTTTATTGTTGTAGTTCATATAATTAATGTAATTATTAAACTAGTTTGTTAAAAACTGTACTTTTTCTTTTATAGTGCTTGAGCACAAATAAGGTACTTTTGTCCTGATTGTTTGATTTGATTTTTACAGCAACCCAATGAGGTTGCTGAGAAGAAAAGTTCTTTAACTCACTCCAGGATGCCTTGTGAAAAACAACTTAGTGCAAGTCTAGATCGACAAGCCTCACAGGCTTCTGTGTACTTGACCTAGATTAAATGGTAGCAAATCATTTGACCTCCTATTGTAAAATGTTTAAAAAATAGATTGAAAACTGAGGTATTTCTGGGGATTTATATTTTGAAATATATAATAAATTAATCAGAAATGAAGTATAATACTGAATGAAGAAGTATATGAAATTAAGTCATTCATTAAATAATATTATCTAAATATAAATATAAAGTATAAGATCAATTTCAAGACATATTTTTGTGCTAAGGCAAATTCTCATGTCAATGATTCTATTCCCACTGTGTCTTAGCCTCTCCTAAAGGGTGGAAGGGCAGCTATGGGCAATACAGTTGAAGAAAGCAGGCCTTTCATGGCATGGTGACCCGAAATGCTTCTTTTCTTTTTAACTTTTCCCATATACTTATCTGGTGTATTGGTCCTCTCAGTTTGTAGATTAGGACAAGGGAAATTCAACTGTCAGACTCATCCAGTCAATTAATCAATAAATATGTAAGTACACATAAGCATCACAAACATTTTCATCAAATCAACTTTTATTTTAAATTAATGTGAGGTCTCTATGTTTCCGAGAAGATGTCTAGACCCTTTAGGTAGTGTTTTCTATGTCAAGAAGATTGTGGATGTTGCTCAGTTTAAAGGGTATGACTTTGAAATCAGAAAAATGTCACCTTATCCAGGAACTTTCTATCACTGCATTAATTAATATCTTAGCTTTAAATGTTTATCCGTGTCCAGAATGAAGGTTCGCCACAGTATTTATCAGGCTTCTTTACAAATACGGGGGCAAGTATCTGTGGTCTAAGGAGAGTAAGTTAGTTGCTCTTGATCATTCTAGGCTTGCAAATGCTCATTGTGGCTTAGCTATAACACGTTCAAAACCTTTCACTAGAAATCAAAAAATAAATCTAGTTCAAGAAACATCTGAGCAGCAGGCCTGAATTGGAAACTTCTAATATCTTTTGATAATATATATTATCTTTAAAGCCATGATAGTCATTAATGCTTTGATTTAGAGTTTAGCCTGTTTATACATTGTTGATTCAGCTAGTGAAAGGAAGATATGGCTGAGATTTATTTGAAGTCGTTACATATGATGAACCACACTGCACCATCCACTGACTTTAAACTGAATGAAGAATTAGAAAAAGGATATTATAGGTGGTTAAAGGTCATGCTATTATCAACACACACAAAGACAATTAAGCAAAACCATACTTTAATGTCTAAAATTCTGTTCATATTTAAGGACTGAGTATATTATCTCATTCTGGCATAAATTATGATAAGCTCAAATTGATTACTTTGCCTTGTCATTAAACTTAAACCTAAATTTAGGAAGCATGAATAATAATAGCTTTGCAAAAGTTTATAATCTGCTGGTGTGACCTTTAAGCCTCAATCTATAAATGCATTTTGTAATAAGCAAGTCCTTTTACTTATTTATTGTTCTTGCCTGATGATTCTACTTAAAAGAAATTTAGGAAAATCAGCCAGAACATAGCTCAGTTGACAGAGTGCTTGCATAGCATGCATGAAACCCTGAGCTCAGTCCCCAGCACAGCACAGACTAGGTGGGTGGTGCATACCTGTCATGACAGCACTCAGGAAGCACAACAGGAGGGATCCCAAATGTAAGCTCATCCTCAGCTATTGAGGCCAGCAGGACTATCTGAGAAGCTATCTCAAATGAAATAAAAATGGAACCCAAGTCGATAGGTAGGGTTTAGTAGGTATGGACTGAGTGAACTGTGGGGATGCTTTCCTTGGCATTTTATTTCTCTTATGTCAGATGTATTGAGGTATAATCATCATAGAATAAATTTTAACTGTGTAGTGTGTAATTTTTTGAGTTTTCTTGCCTTTGATTTTATTTTTAAAAAGTATGCCACAGCACAATAAAAATAGCAATAAATTCCTGATAATTTGCCCAGAACCAAACAGGGCTAGGGTCATAAGAAATCAAACAGAGCTGGTGCTGTAGCTGTAATGTTTGTTGAAATAATATTTCCTGACCAAGCTAAATTATCTATCATATTTTTTTCTGTGTGATTTTCTATAAACCAGTTGAGCAGTTCTTCCAAAATGAATTTGTTCTATGTGAGATTGTGCAATATGAACAATGTGACCTAGTACATTTAATAGAGAATACGTCAATTTGGGCCAAGTGTGTGATGTTACTCTTAAAAAGACATTGGTGCCTTAGAACATACTAGCCTGTTATACCTGAAAAAAAAAAGAAAGAAAGAAGAAAAGAGGTCAAAATTATATACTTCTAAATATCCACAACAGGAATCCAATGCCCTCATTATTAACTAAATACCCACAGCAGGAATGCAATGCCCTCATTATTAACTAAACATTGTGAGATAAAAGTTTTAATCAAGAAAGAGCCGCAGCTAACCTGGGGCCAGCCTCCCCGTCAGCAGCAGAGTACGTAAGAAAATCCACAAAGGCGGCAAGGGTTAAACCTCTTAGGAAAAAATGTTTCTCTTTCTTTGGGCTAGACTTTTTGATCTGAGGGGAATAATAAGGAAACACAGATGCTTTCTGGTGGTAACTTTGTCTTTACTTCTTCGTGAAACTTTCCCTGTGAAAAATCTCTCTTGCTCTTTTCTCATTACTCTCCCGGGCAGCTTCTAATTATCTCTACCCCCTCTTCTACACCACCACTTCTCTTGCCTCTGCCACTCCTCCCTTCATCTATGCTCCTCCTCTCACTGCACCACGGCTGCTGCTCTTCCTCTCACTGCCAAACTCTGAACAATTATGAGTTACATTTTCAGGGCCCAGTCAATGTCATAACAAATGACAAGTCACATAGTTTCTCTTAGGCTAGGGAGGTCACATTGACTGGCCAGGGAGTAATGTTTAGCCATGCACATAGATCAAATAGTTAGGGTTCCCAGACAGAAAAATGACATTTGGAATTCAAGACTTAACAATTAATTAGCTATACCTTGCGTTTGGGCAGAAAGGTCCATTGCTTGCAAGGAGTTACATCTAAAATTGCTTCAAACCCTGGCCTTAAATCAGCAAAAAATACCTGTGAAAATGACCTTGTGCATTTGTCCCTAGGGGCAACCAGATATTCATCTCCAGTGGTAACCAGCATGCTCTGAATTTGTTCTGTCTATAACTAACTGTCTGTGCAAAAGGCTGTCTTTATGACTGAGAATCCTATGTCAGTCTGAGTAATGAAAAATATCCTAATATTATTTCTGTTCATTAAAATTTTACAGTTAAGCAGAAATCATCTTCCTGACCATCCTCAGCTATATGTGTGTTCCGTAGATGGAATATTTTCATGAGATAAACACACAAACATTGGTAAAATACCCAAAGTTGTTCTTAGGGAAGAAATGAAGTGGCTCATAAGAGAAATTACAGATAGTGGCAACCAGTTTTCAGAGTCAGTGGTCCTGTAAGCCTTGCTATACAAGATTATCTCCATCAGATAATTATTTGTCTGGTGGGCCAATACTTGAATTATCAATTGCCATCTGCTGTATATTCCCACACCCCCTGCAAAGAGCCTAAAAATATTAACTTAAAAAAAATCTAATTATAATCAATTTTAAGATCTAGTGAAGTTGAAGTTAACATCTACACACACACACAACACACACACATACATATATGTCTCTCTCTATATATATAGAGAGAGATCTATATAAAGATATCTATCTATATCTATACACACACATATATGTGTGTATATATATATGTGTGTATATATATGTATATATATAAT